CTGTTGGTTCAGGGGCTGTTCTAAACATCAGTTATAATGAGGAGCCATGCTTCTGGAACAGAGGAAGAAGAGAAAGTATTTTTGGTAATTCAGAGTGGTTGGATAATTTTATGTTGTATCTATGACCAAAGTAACATGGCTTTTGGTGAAAAACTAAGCCAAGATGACAGGGGATGGAGTTAATCTTCCTGGCCTGTGAATGGGCTGCTTTTCCTAGACTGCAGTTCCTGTTAACTGGCTTCATGCAAAAGTAACTTGACTGTGCTTGGCATGACGTGGGTCAATGCAGTGACACTTTCCCGGGCTGATGAGAGGAAGCAGGCCTCCCTAAGTGGTGGGGATAATCCCTCACCTTTGTCCTCACGTTCCTCTTGATTATTGCTATAATGGAGCCCTTTTAATTTCATTTTACCACGTAAAAAAAATTACCTTTCTGGGTTTGCAAGCAAGAGTGACTGTTAATGACACGCAACTTGATCAATGTTTGAGGTTTGAGAAGGATCTCTCTGTAATGGCTGAAGAGTAGGCTCTTTCCTCACAAAGATTTTATGAGGGCTAGGAATACTTTTCTAAATCTAGAGTCCTGAAATACCACTTTATGGAGCCAGTTTAATACCCTTGAGAGTTGGCTGAACTTTGATGCAGTATCTATGGTTTTATATGTATTTTGAAGTACAACCAGGCTCCTGAATTCTCCTGCAGTCAGACCCGGGTGAAAGTTTTCTAAGAAAATGATAAATTAGGTCCATAATGTTGTAATTACAAATGGAACAAACTTTCTGTTAGGACTTCTTCTACTCACTGAATTGTAACCCACTAGCTAATTCATTGTTCCCTGAAGGATAAAAATCATATGCTGGTTTTCACTACAGTCTTTGTTGCATGTTGTAGCTGAAATGCTTTACCCTAAATTCTGAAAGATGCCATTTGAAGTTAACAACCAGGAAAAAAACTCTAGACCACAACTACCCTCTAAAAAGGGTAGTTTCTTAGTCTGGATCCTCATTCGTCAGACAATGTCACAGAAATGCCCCATTAATTTGCCTTCCAAGAGGTAAAAAAGGGCTTTGTGAAACAATTCTGATACACAGGTCTGTGGTATTCATAGCCATGGTTCCAGTGCAGACTATGCAGGAAGATGGAGAAATTTAGAAGCATAGGTACTGAATGCCCATCTGCTGCTTGTGAAATCTATGTTCTAAACAACATCCATGTTTCGGGTTACTCATGCTCGTTTTGTTTGCTGTTTGACAATGTAGTCCTCTCTCGAATTTGAATATAGGTTCCTACTGATAAAGCTTAAACAGCTCAGTTTCATCTCTTTTCCTCTTCAGCATTCAAAGTTCCACCTAAACATGAGGAGGAACTTCTTTACTTTGAGGGTGGCAGAGCCCTGGAAGAGGCTGCCCAGAGAGGTGGTGGAGTCGCCTGCTCTGGATACATAAAAAAACCCACCTGGACACGTTCCTGTGCAACCTGCTCTGGGTGGACCTGCTTTGGCAGAGAGTTGGACTAGATGATCTCCAGAGGTCCCTTCCGACCCCATATCATTCTGTGATTCTGTATTATACCAAAATGTGCTTCTAAGTAGTGATTTCTTGTTCAACCCTTAATGGATCATCCCTTCCCACCTGGACGATTCTATGATTCTACGTCAGGCAGGAATGCTGCCAGCCCTGTGTTATCTCTGTAAGTCAATGAGCAGCATTAAAAGTTTGCTTTTTTAAGGAGTTAATTCTCAGATTGAAGGTGGAAGAAAAGTCAATCTGATGCTGTAGAAGGCATTGGCAAAAATACATGCCAGAATACTTTTTGACATTGAAAAGTGAAACAACCACTCAATAAACAATATAGGAAAAGGAAGACAATGTTTCTCCTAACTCATATACTTCTAATATTCTAAGTTTTCAGCTGATATTAGCGAGAAATATAAGTTAATAATTATTAATAATTAATAATAAGCAAGATTCAGTGTAAATAGCTTCTGGAAGAGGAATTTGATAGGTAATATTAGAATTTCAGCTCTGCTGGTATAAGTTTCTTTGCTGTCAACAGATTTAAACCTAGAGCCTTGTAAAGGGAGATAAAAACTGAACGAGTAAATCCAATTATATTTATCACAAAAAGATTATATGAAAAAAAATAAGCATTGCTGTGACCAATGTCTAAATTGGAAAACTGATGCATGGTGAAGTGCAATGACTTGACTAGGGGTCTGTAGGGGCCCATAGGGGCCTGTAGGGGTCTGCAGGGTTCTGCAGGAGCTTGTAAGGCCTTGTAGGGGTCTGTAGGGACCTGTAAGGGTCTGTAGGGACCTGTAGGAATCTATAGGGGTCCATAGGGACACACAGCAGTCTGTAGGGGCCATAGGGGTCCGTAGGAGTCTGTAAGTGGTTGTAGAGGCCTGTAGGGGCCTGTAGGGGTCCATAAGGACCCATAAAGGTCTGTAGGGCCCCATAAGGGTCTGTATGGGGTCTGTAGGGGCCTGTAGGGGCTGTAGTGGTCTATAGGGGTTCATAGGGGCCCGTAAGGATCTGTAAGAGTTGTTCTTGCTGACAATTTGGGTGCGGGAGTCACCTCTGGACATTTGGAAGTTTTTGAGCCTGGTGCTAGGAAAAAGTGAAAAAAGGTGGTTTTGAAGATAGTGTGTCCAGGAAAGCCTACAGCCCCAAAGTTTGGTTGGCAATGCGAGTAGTTCCCAGAGACAATGAAAAAAAGTAAAAGTTGTTCTTGCTGACACTTTAGGTGTGGGAGTCACCTCCGGGCGTTTGGAATTGTTATGGTTTGAGAGAACCCATAACGATCTATTGTCATTTAGACAATTATTCTATCACCCAATGACCCCTCCCCACCTGGAAAGGGGAATCGGGGAACACAAAGAAACACAAGGGTTGAAATATAAATAGATTTAATAGACTAAGACTAAATAATTAACAATAGTACTAAGGAACCAGTATTAATCCCAATACTGATCTAAGATATCCAAGAATTATCCCCAGCCCATTCTCTCAGCAGAAGCCGTGCGCTCCCAGCAGGGACAGCAAATGGCGGACACTGCCAGCAATGGCTTCAGGAGGAAGGGAAGGCCTCAGGGCTCCGGCACCAGGGCAAGGAGTTGTCTGGACCCACCGCCATCAAGGGAGAGCCCCCTACACAGCAAACTTTTCTAATTTATATTGAATGTGACCTTCATGGTATGAAATAATCCTGTTGGCCAGCCTGGGTCAAATGCCCAGGTGTGGGGAGTGGAGAATTGTGGAGATGCGCTGCTGAGTGAGAGCTCTGCTGGTGTTCTTGCAGTGATGGGAAGGAAGCCTTGGGAACAATAAAACAATGTCCTTATATGGTATTATTTGTGTGGTATGAAATCTAGCGAGGCAGTGTGAAAAACAGATAGCAAGCTAGCAAATAGATAACGATATACCAAAACAAATAATAATGACTAATTAATAAAACAATGTCCTTATATGGTATTATTTGTGTGGTATGAAATCTAGCGAGGCAGTGTGAAAAACAGATAGCAAGCTAGCAAATAGATAACGATATACCAAAACAAATAATAATGACTAATTACCCTAGGTGCATGAACACTTATATGTAGCCAATTGTATTGCTCATAACGATGTGTGGACAGGCCCCCACAACCTATCTGTGCAGAGAGCACAGTGTGTGATCAAAAGAGAGAAACTATATATGCTGTAAAAAACGAAACCTTAAACGTCTTCGCTTCACCACTTGGTGGAGTCCGTGCCCTTTGTTGCCACAGTCTGGAGCATCTGTGCTCCAAGGACGGGCTGAGAGAGCTGGGACTGCTTGGCATAGAGAAGGCTCGGGGAGGATCTTAGGAATGTGTCTACAACTTGAAGGGAGGGTGCAAAGAGGACAGGGACGGCTTCTTCTCAGTGGTTCCCAGTGTCAGGACCAGAGGGCACGCCACAGACGCGCACTGAAAACAAGAAGCAACACCATCACTAAACCCTATCTCCCAGCACTACATCAACCCGTCTTTTGAACATCTCCAGGGATGGTGCCTCAACCACCTCCCTGGGCAGCCCATTCCAATGCCTGATAACACTTTTGGTGAAAAAATTTTTCCTAATATCCAGCCTGAACCTCCCCTGGCGTAACTTGAGGCCATTTCCTCTCGTCCTGTCGCCTGTGACTTGGGAGAAGAGACCGACCCCCACCTCTCTACACCCTCCTTTCAGGGATTTGTAGAGAGCAATAAGGTCTCCCCTCAGCCTCCTCTTCTCCAGGCTGAACACCCCCAGCTCCCTCAGCCTCTCCTCATAAGACTTGTGCTCCAGACCCCTCACCAGCTCCGTTGCCCTTCTCTGGACCCGCTCCAGCACCTCGATGCCTTTTTTATGGTAGGGAGCCCAAAACTGGACACAGCCCTTGAGGTAGGGCCTCCCCAGTGCCCAGTACAGGGGGACCATCACCTCTCGGGCCCTACTCCCCACACTGTTCCTGATACAGGCCAGGATGTTGTTGGCCTTCTTGGCCACCTGGGCACACTGCTGGCTCATGTTCAGCCCACAGTCAACCAACACCCCCAGGTCCTTTTCTGCCAGGCAGCTCTCCAGTCACTCTGCCCCAAGCCTGATACCTGCTTAATTGAGTCCTGATTTTGTCTTTTACGGCATCACTATCTGAGAGAACAATGCCAGCCAGAGCGCCGTGGCCTTGGGAAGAGCCTCTGATTTTGTCTTTTATGGCATCACTATCTGAGAGAACAATGGCAGCCAGAGCGCCGTGGCCTTGGGAAGAGCCGGGACTGAGGCTACATTTTGCATGATCACCGGCAAGTTCCCTGGCTGTGGAGGTTGCGCTGCACTGTCGGAGGCAGCAAAGCTGCTGCTTTCTGCCCCAGGGCATGCAGTTGCTCCCTGGGAAGTCCGGAAGCCTTGGCTGGAGAAGGGTGTGGGAAAGCTGCTCTGAAGGCAGAACATCTTTGGGAGGGCCGTTCGAAGAAAGGCTTGCAGTGGAAAGTTGTTTGCTCGGCTTCACGAGCACGTTCAGCGCAGGCAGGTCCGTGTGCGCGCACTGGACCATGTCAGGTGGGACTTGTCCCATCCCAGGTGCACTTGGAAACGTTTGGAAGCTGCAGGTCACTTTGCAAATTGCCTTATTGGTGCTCTCTCGCTCCACCCAGCATCTGCAGTGGAGGCTTCATCCCTCACAGAAAGGATGGGCTGGAGAGAGGCTGGGCATCCGTGTGCCACAGTCACCCTCTTGGCGTGGAAATGGGCTCCGGTCCCAGCAGAAAGAGGCCTGGGGTGATGGTGGGGTCAACACAGATGGACTCCACTCAGAGAACGTGGATGGGAAATAGGGCACCACTGATGCCCCCTCCCCCGTGCAGACCCCCAAAGCAGTGCTCCTGTCACCCCATGCTGTGAGCACCCCCAAAACAGTGCCATTCCCCGCCCTGTGCTGTGAAAACCTGCCCCTTGGCTGTGGGAGCACCTTATCCCTGCAGATCCAGGAGAGACACAGCCCCTTTTGTCTCTGGGACGGTTCCAGCAGCCCCTCAGCAAGGTGGGATCAGCTCTCCTGCAGTCCTGTGTGATGAGTCTGCCAGTTCTCCTGTTTCTCCACCCTCTGCCCAGACCCAGAGGGACATGGACAGGATTGAGATGGCTCCTGTGAACCTCGTGAAGTTCCACCAGGCCAAGGGATTCTGCCCCTCTGCTCTGGGGAGACCCCCCCAACCCCAGTGCTCCCTCCAGCTCTGGGTCCACTAACATCAGAAGGACACAGCAGAGGGGTTCCAGCCCTCACAGCATCTCCATGGAATCCTCTGGCCCCGCTCCAACAGGTCCATGTCCTTCCTGTGCTGAGGACTAAAAGCTGGACACAGGACCCCAGGGGGAGTCTCCCCAGAGCGGAGCAGAGAGGCAGAATCCCCCCCATCCCCCTGATGGCCACGCTGCTGGGGATGCGGGCCAGGACAGCGGGGTTTCTGGGCTGCCAGCACACGTTGGTGGCTCATGTTGAGCTTCTCACCCACCAACACCCCCAAATCCTTCTCCTCAGGGCAGATCTCCAGCCATTCTCCACCCAACCTGTATTTGTGCCTGGGACCCGGGTGCGGGACCTTGCATTTGTTGGGTTAGGATCTCATGGGCCAGCAGGAGGCACATGGCTGCCAAGGTATCCATGAGGTCAGTGCTGTCTCTGGAGGGGACAGGCCAAGAGCAGCAATGTGGCTGGGAAAGGGGGCTGCCAGGTCACTTCTTTCTGCACTCGCTGGTAGGTCAGCCCTTGAGTCATGGCTGGGGTTTTAGGCTCAGGTCGGACAGTATCTCTGACAGGCCAGCAGAAGGCATCTGGAGGGCAATACCTTGTTTTTTTCAACTAGATGAGGGAAAATAAATCTCAAAGGGTGGCATTGTGGTGATAGAGGTCACCCACGAGGAGTCTGGATCAGCCCACGCCTCGGTATTTCGACGAAAATCCAGCAAGGGTGGAGAGACATGGGGTGGAGAGACATCAGGGAAGCTACAGAAATGCTGGGGTGAGAGCCCGGTGGGAAAGTAGGATGGACGCCAACAGATTGAGGGGAAGAGAGAAGGTGTGGGACAGTGTAGGACAACCTGCAGGAGAGATGTCAAAGGGGTCTGGTGAGGCTGCAAGGCCCAACAGGACTGAAGTCTTTGTCCCCTTAGCTTAGGGCAGCTTCCTCTGCCACCAAGGCCTAAAAGGAGGAACTTTGTTTGGAAGCTCTGGACTTCATTCCTTCCTTTCGCCTGCTTGGGGAGGCTGGGAGGTGTTGCACAGCCCTTGAACGCTTGGCCTTGCTCCCCCTCACACCCAATCACCCCGGGAAGGGCCCTGGGCCCCACCTGAGGGACAGGAACTGCCTTCCCATGGCCTGGGAGTCAGGGCTTGGCCTTTCTGCTCCATCAGACAAACCAATGGGTTTCTCAGCATCTGAGCTGCCCTCACAGCACCTTTGCCAACCTGCAATCATGGCCTCCTGTGATCTGCTCTAATGAGTCCCTGGGGAGGCTTGGTCAGTAACAGCCCTCAGTGGGGCCCATTAACGCTTCCAGGTGCTCTGAGTTTTCTTTCTCACTTGGATTTCTTGAGCACTTTGTTCGCTCTTCTCTCAGGACCTGAGGTTTGTGGATGAGCCATGTCTCTTCCTGCAATTTTCTTCAAGCCTTCTGCACCTGATTGGAGTCATTTCACAGTGGAAGATTTCAAAGTGCACCTAAACCAACAATGTTTCATTGTAAAGGGTACGTTTTATTAGCTCTCCTCGGAGAACTGGCCACACCCGGGCACAGGAGGAGCTTTCCTATTTGTCACAAAAGAAGAGTAAAGCATAAGAAAATTCCATAAACAACAAAACTTGGCAACTATCTGCTAAGTGTGAGATGCCTCTAATGAGGTTGTCTTTCTACAAGGGGCAATCTCATGAGAAATGTATTAGATATAGATAGATAGATGGATAGGTAGGTGGGTGGGTAGATAGATAGATGGATGGAGAGATAGAAAAAGATAGATATGATTTGCCTAAAGGGAAAATTAGGCTACAGAGAGAGAGGCAAGCTTTTAGTCCCTGCAGTTCACAGCGGCAGCAAAGGTTAGAGGTATTCATAAGGGTTACAGAGATGATGAGGGGCCTAGAACATCTCTCTTAGGAGGAAAGGCTGAGGGACTTGGGGACACTGGAGAAGACTGAGGGGGAATCCGATCAATGCCTATCAATACTTAAAGGGTGGGTGTCAGGATGGGGCCAGCCTTTATTCAGTGGTGCCCAGTGACAGGAGAAGAGGGGTCCTCAAACTCTGAGGGGATCTTCAAACCCCGCTGGGACATGTTCCTGTCCAGCCTGCTCTGGGTGACCCTGCTCTGGCAGGGGGTTGGATTGGATGATCTCTGAAGGTCCCTTCCAACCGCTACCATTCTGTGATTCTGTGATTGCATAGTCCTGTCTGTAGGACTGACGTACGAGTATTTTGCAGCCTGTACAAATTGCCCAATGAGTAGTGAAGTTAAATCGACTCAGCCGGCATTTTAAAACTGAGTGTTACTGTCTTTGGGCTGAATTGTGTTTTGTTGATGTTTGACAGTGCGCTGTAGCCATAAGGGCTTACTCTTTTTGCATCTTACTGCACCAAAAATGATTTGCAGTGTGTGTAGATGCCAAGTAGTGAACCGTGGGTGTGTTCACCTACCAGTAGAGACCACCTTAAATCGGTCAATAGCTGTGGTAGTTCGTGTGCTAGAAATGAGTGGAAATAAGCTTACCCTTCCTCTGTGCTTTTGCACGCTCAAAGCAGCAGCAGTTCTGTCTCAGAAGCACAAGCTTTCACATGCTGTCCAGTTCTTCAATTTGCAGTAGCTTTATGTCAGCAGCAGAAAGTCTGGACCCGCCACCATCAAGGGAGAGCCCCCTACACAGCAAACTTTTCTAATTTATGTTTAATATGACATTCATGGTATGAAATAATCCTGTTGGCCAGCCTGGGTCAAATGCCCAGGCCTTGCTCCTCCTTGTCCCTGCCCCTGGCAAGGCTCAAAAACACTAAGACCTTGAATCCCACAGAGCCTGGCTAGCTATAAAATAAATATTTTCACATATTCAGGCACTAGAGTCTTCTAGAAGTGCATTTTTCCCCAGCGATAGAAGAAAAGTTAGTCCTGTGTCTCTCAACCCAGGACAAATTCCTTCCCCAGTTGTCCTGCTTGGAGAAAACCCCCAAGAGTTTAGTGTCGTGTAGACAATTATTGCGTCTCCTGATGACCGATCCCCGCCTGGGGAGAGGAATTGGGGAAAGCAAGGAGACGCGAGGGTTGAAATCGAAAGAGATTGACTGGGCTAAGAAGCAATAATGAAGAGTCCTAGTCAAGAACCAGGATGAATCCCGAGAGGAACAGAAGGTGTCCAGGAGTTATGGTCAGGCCATTCTATCCTCAGGAAGCTGGGCGCTCCCAGCTGGGGACAGCAAATGTGGGACCCTCCTGACGTCCTCCATGGGCACATCGGTGGCCTTGGCATCTGAAGGGGTTCTTCTGAGTTTTGCAGGAGTTTTTAGAGGTTCTTATGGGTCTGCTGGGGTCTTCTCCTGGGTTTCTGAGGTGTCTGCAGGGATCTGTAGGTGTCTCTGGGGGTTTTTAGGGGTCTGCAGGGTTCTGTCGGTGTTCTTAGGGATCTGTAGGGGTCTCTTGGGGTTCTTAGGGGTCTGTAGGCGTCTCTAGGGGTCTGCTGGGGTTTGTGGGGGTCTTTAGAGGTTTTTAGGAGTCTGCTGGGGTCTATTGGGTTTCTGAGGGGTCTCTAGGGGTGTCTGGGGGGTTTTAGGCTTCTGCAGGGATCTGTAGGGGTCCCTAGGAGTTGCTAGGGGTATCCAGGGGTCTCTGGGGCTTCTTAGGGGTCTGCAGAGGGGTGCAGGAGGCTGTAGGAGGCGGCAGGGTTCTATAGGGGGCTGTAGGTGTCTGCAGGGGTCTGCGGAGTTTTGTAGGGGTTGGTAGGGATTCATAGGGGTCTGTAGGGATCTGCAGGGGTCTGTAGGGATCTGCAGGGGTCCGTAGGGATCGTGGGGGTCTCTCCTCTCTCTGGGGGGTTGTCCTGCTCCCTGCACCCCTCTGGTCCCCAGCCCCCCGTTTTCTGGCTCCGTGCCCCACACCTCCAGGTCCCTCTGTGCTGTCTGTGAGGGCAGGGGGGACACTGTGCTGTGGGGCTGTGGTCATGGCCCCTCTTGGCAAGGAGCTGCAGCTGGGGCTGGGGCAGCCCAGGTGGGAGCCGTGAGGTGCTGCTGGGCTGGGCCAAGGGTTGAAAGAGGCTGTGGGGGACACTGGGGGGGCTGGGGCAGGCTGAGAAGCAGACAGTGGGGCTGGGGCAGGGCTGTGCCGAGGGTCTCTGGCTGGGGAGGGGGCTGGGAAGGGGCAGAGAGAGAAGCCTCTGGGCAGTGAAGGTCTCCCGCCTGCAGCAGGAGCTGCCGTGAGTCCCCGCTGGGCTCCTCCTGGTCCTGACCCCCCCTTCCCCCTGCCCCCTTCTCCCTTCCCTTTCCGTCCCTCTCCCTGCCCCGCTCCCCACCACTTGG